TATTTATTTTATTTTATTTATTTATTTTTGTATTAAAAATATATTTTGTTATATATCATATTAGGCACACACTAAACATTTCATTTATTTCCCATTGTTGTTGTGATTGTGGCTGTTGTTTTCACACACTTCATATTAAATTCATTGGCGGCCTGTCTTATAGTAGAAATGCCAACAATTTAAATTTTATTAGAAAATCCCATTAGATACACACACACATTCAAGTGCACACATACACATATTCATGTATACAAAGTGACTTCCACTTCCGCTTGTAAGATGCCTGTATGTGTGTGTGTATCCACCACCCAGCACAAATTCCAACCCCTGCCCATTCCATCCCCTCCTCCATCTCTTGCACAATTGAGCATGCTTCATTTGCGAGGTATGAATGAAAAGCGCGCGTCGATTTGGGTGGGCAAAGCGCGACAACAAAAATGAGAGAAAGAGAAAAATAGGAAAGGAGATTGCGAGGGCGAAAGACTGAGAGAGAAGGCGAAAAAGAAATCATTGCATATTTGCGTGGGCAAACAAAAATAAACAATGCCGACAGTTTATTTAACATATGATGTAAATGTAAGCGCTGCTCTAATAGTTTGACAAAATTAAAGCACACACATACGAGGCATGCACATATTAACATATGTATGCATGTGTATACATGTATGTGTGTATGCATGTATGTAACGCACACTTCACTACACACAACTACACTACTACAAACACATGCGCAGCAGCTGAGAGGGAGCAATGCACGCGACGACAACGGCGACGTAATCGTTGCCCCCTTTTGATTACTTTTATTTTTAACACACACACACGTTCATATTCAGAGGCCGTCGCATCTTTGCAGACATTCAGTTCTTGTTTTTTTTTTTTTCTTTCTTATTTTTTTTCCTGTAGTAATTATACATATTTAACTATGCTTGTGTTGGTATACTAACATTTAATGTTAGACAGCAGCTCCTCCAACGGCGACGACGGCGGCTATCCAAAGCGCAGTGGCAGCGCACGCTACCAGCACTTAAAGCTTAAATGTTTCACACGCACACACATACATAAGCACACTCACACATAACACTTAGTCTCACACATAGACCGAATCACAGCACACGCACGCTTGTTTGTTTCTTTCTTCTGCTGCTTGTGCATTTGTTATTGCAATTGGGATACTTAAGCACTTTGTGGTACTTGCATTTGCATTTCTATTTGTATTTTCATTATTTTATGCTAGCAGAGAATACACATAAACACATAGAACATTGTTTTAATTAATCCACATAAAAAACCAAGTTCTCAAACGTTTGTTTGTTCGTGCGCTCGTTGCCCGTTTCGTTGCCGTTCGTCCGCTTGCAAACTGCAGACGCGTCCGTCGCGTCAA